TAGGAATTTCCATCATAGTTTGTCAATTTCGTGTAGTGTGTTTTCAGGGATCTTTAGAGCAGTAAGGTGATAGATTGGTTGCGCCATTAGGACTGACTTTGTTAGTGACGTTCTTCCTGTTGCCCTCATGAGTTTCCCTTGCTAGGGTGCTAACTTTGTTACGATCTTGTCGAGTATCGGCTGGACGTGGATCTTTTTTAGCCTAGAGACAGTGAGGGGTAGTCCTAGGTATTTCAAAGGGAAAGTAGCAACCCTCGCCGGGAACGCAAGGAAGATGTCATGTAGATCGAGATTCCCGCAACGGATCGCCGCTATCCTGAGGGTTTACCTTCAGCCTGGTGACCTTTCCAAACATTGAAAGGAATTTTGAAAGATTTGTCATATCTCTGGTGGTTGGTGAAATGAAGTTAGCGGCATCGTCGGCGTAAAGTGAGGTTCTCAATCTCGCCGCCCTTCCATTGAGAGCCAGATCTTTGGCCTTGGGGATCTCGTGCTCCTTTAGGAACCTGGCGATGGAGCTGGTTCAAGGAGCATGGCATTGGCTCCCGTGCCCCGGCCGCCGTCTCCTCTTGCGGAAAAAACTCCCCTGAGTTGCTTCACTTTTCTAGACCTTGAAGCCCAACTCTTGCATTGCAGCTGCATGCCCACCTAAGTACCTATTACTGTACAATAATTCAACTTTGTTATCAAATATAATTGTTTGCATAGGAGTACAGAATATTTGAACCTTTGTTTCTCTGTGGTTCTAAAAGAAAGGACACCAAATTCGTCGCAAACTATTCTCAGCCAAAAAGGGAAAACGACTAGTTTAGATATGATTATTCATTTACGAGTACGGGTTTTCAGTCTTTATAAACTAACTGGAACTGTTTGAGATCGCTTAATCACTGACAATTATCATGCAACCCTATGTGATATGTTATTAACTAGGAATATATCTCTAACATTAACACTGCTAAGACTAGTAGCATCTACCGATTGAGGGACCAAGTTGGTTAGTAGATGATTGGAAAAAGTACACTGAAGGTCCCTCAACTTGTCATCGAATTACAAAATCATCCTCCAACCGCAAAACCAGATATAGGACATCCCTCAACTTACAAAACCGTTCACTTTAGGTCCTTCGGTGGTTTTGATCCCGGTTTCGTCCGATGTGGCGGCTGAGTCAGCGTGGGACCCACGTGGGTCCCACATGTAAGGGTGTACAGTCAGCACCTCTCCCTTCCCCCTTCTCCCCCTTCCTCTTCTCTCTCTATTTCTCTCTCTCTCTCTTCCCCTCTGCAGGATGCCCGGCGGGTGGGGAGCTCGTCGGGGCGAGGTGGGAGAGGACATCCGGCGGGCCGGCGATGCGGCGGCGGCGGCGGCGGCGTCGACGATGCGGGAGAAGGGAGAGCGTCACAGGCTCACCGCGCGTGCGACCTCGGGGTCGGGCCGTCAGAGAGGCCCGGGCGGTGGCGGCGAGGACGCCAAGGCGCGGGACTCCGGATGGTGGCGGCGGCATACGACGCGCTGCGGGCGCCAGTTTGGGACCAATATTAGAGGAGCAGAGAAAATTAGGGCCAGGCCGTCATCTCCCGACGATGGCGGCGAGGCAGAGGAAGGGCGGCGCGGCGAGGAGGGCTCGACGAAGAAGATGAGGAGCGTGGTGCTGCGGGAGGCCATGGCGGGGCTCCCGGAGCACGGCGACAGTCGCGTGAGGTACGACGACACGTGGTGACGGGCAAGCGAGGGCGGCGAAGGCGAGCCCACAGCGGTGGTGGCTAAGGAAGTAGTGGAGACGCGGTTGAGGAGTGGACGGCGACGGGCGGGAGCAGGCCGACGGCGGCAAGGGAGTTAGGCGAGCGCGGTGGCGGAGAGGCAGCGGCAGCAGCAGGCGAGCGCGGCTGCGGATGGGGAGCGGCGGCGCCGACGACTCCGCGCCACTCGGCCTCATCGTCGTCGGCGGCTTCGGGTGGGGGCGCCGCGCCGCCGGCTTCTCGTCGCTTGCCATGGCGCTGGAACGGGGGAGGACGGCCGGAGTGGCGGCTCGTTGGGGACGGCCTCGCGGAAGAGCAACGGCCGGAAGGACAACGGCGGCGACAACACGTCGGCCGGCCAACTCCCTCCTCGCCGTCTCCATCCCTACTTCCCTCCCGCTGTCGCCGTCTCCGTCTTCCGCTCCTCCCTCGCCCCGGATGGGAGTTTCGTCGGAGCGGCATCCTCCTCCTCCACCTCTCCACTGCCATTCCCCTCAAGCTCCCCCTTCGCTCTGCCCCTGTGGTCTCGCCACCGACGCTCCTCCCCGCTCGCGTGCGCCGACCTCGTCGACCGGGGTGACTTCAACGGGGCACGCCGCGACGGGACACTGTGCTCGCCGCCGCCGACCTCGTCGAGCGGGGTGACTTCGACGGGGACAAGAGAGGCCATGGCGATGCCCGACCGTGGCATGCTCCTCTGCACCAGCGACCGCGCCCGCGCCCGCCGCACCGTCCTGCCGCGCCGCCCTGGCTGCTCTTCGCCGGCCACCGCCCATGGAGAGGGAAGGAGAGAGGAAGTGAGTTGATGGGGAGGGTAAGAAGTGGTGACGTGGACAGTCTAACATGTGAGTCCCACGCTGACTCAGCCGCCACGTCGGACAATACCAGGGTCAAAACCACCGAAGGACCTAAATTGTAACTCGATGACAAGTTGACGGACCTTCGGTGCACTTTTTCCTAGATGATTTGGTCCTGCACTACCAATTTCTTATTAGGATTTTTAGCGGTAAAAAAATGAGTTGTTATATATGAGCTGCAGACAGCAGCACAAAAACTGGTGTTCCACTATTAGTTTGACTTGGCCGACAGAGAGAGGAACACACATTCTTTTTAGCGAGATGATGGAAGGAACACACATTCTTTTTAGTTGGAATGGCAGTTTGCAACACACTGGATTGAAGAATCAGTAGCTGTAGAGATGTTCGTTATCTTAACCAATCATGGAGTTAGGTAATCTATTAGAATATTCAGCTTATTCTGCCGCGGATGCAGATCGTGATTGCTGTTTTGTTTTCGTGGGAGGTCGTATTTATATGTAGGCTAAACGGGGTAAGGAAATTTGAGAATTACAGAGTAAAGTCTATCACCGGTCCCTAAACTTGTACCGTTGTATCATTCCGGTCCCTAAACTCGCAAATCGACCGTTCAGGTCCTCAAACTTATTCGACTGTGTCATCTCGGTCCCTAAACTTGCATATCACTTGTTTAGGTCCTCCAACTTGTTCAGCTATGTCACCCTGGTCCCTAAACAGGATGGTCTAAAAACTTTATATCAAAAAATAATTCATAAATTTTTCATGTGAACTCTAATGAAGACGAACTTTATATCAAAATTATAGCTCTCGACACGACCTACAACTTTGTAGTTGAAAAGTTTTTGAATTAAAACTGTTTAGGGTCCCAAAATATTATTGCATGTTTATAGATTTTGAAATTTTAATTTTAAAATTACATTTTGGGACAAAAAATGACTTAAAATAAAAAAAAATCAACTACAAAGTTGTAGATCGCATCGAGGGCTACAAGTTTGATATAAAGTTTGTCTTCATTAGAGTTTACATGAAAAATTTATAAATTATTTTTAAATATAAAGTCTTTAGACCGTCCTATTTGACCCAGATGATATTCAAATCCAAGTTTAGGGACCGGGGTGATACAACTGAATAAGTTGGATGACCTAAACGAGTGATCTGCAAGTTTAGGGACCGGAATGATACAGTCGAACAAATTTGAGGACCTGAACGGTCGATTTGCGAGTTTAGGGACCGGGATGACGCAGCGGTACAAGTTTAGAGACCGGTGAAGGACTTTACTCTAGAATACACTAGACTAGAGTCTAGAGTATACATAGACATGCTGCATAGTACCATGTAAGTGGCCAATTTTTTTTTTTGGTTGGCAAAACAGATTATGTGATATCGCCCCACAAACGTGCAAGCACAAGTTATATATTTGCCATCAAACCTGCAAGCACAAGCTCAACTCTAGATATTGAGAAAAATACATATATCCGGCTAATAATGTAGCTACGCTTTGTGTAATTATGATTTTTCGCCACTGATGTTATAACTCATGAACAGATAGATTCTACATAATAAATATTGTCTCTTTATCTAACTAGATGAAACTCCGCGCGTTGCAAAAGTTTAGTATGATAAGAGCAAATAAAAATAATATTTAAGATAGCTAAACAACATAAGTTTACGTAAGTTGATGTGGTTTATATAATGATGATTCAAAAGTAAAAGTAAGAAGATGTAGCTTTATAACAGAAGAAAAGGAGGCAGATAATTTGGACTATACATTTACGATCAAAGGGCTAAAAATAATTAAGGTTATATGGTTTAATGAGAGAAGAAAACGAGGAAGATAATTTGGACCATAGATTAATCATCCAAAAACTAAAAATAATTGTGATATGGCTTAATGAGAGAAGAGATAAATAACATGAACTAAGTGAGGATGAACTATATAGATATATAGGATATTATAAAAAATGATGGAGAGATTTAAAATATTATGTGATTTATGTGACATGATGATTTAACATGCTTACATTTTAAAGCTCTAAAATTTAATAATTATAAAATAAGTAATATAACATTCTGTACAGATGTTCAAATGTAATAGTTGCTAGTGGAAGATGATGTGACCTTCTTTTTGCATGTTGAGTTTTAGATTTTAGTGGGTTGTAACTTTATATAGGATAATTAATAAATATTACCTATCTTCATTAACAAATTATTATTATTATTATTATTATTATCATCATCATTATCGTATACAAAACAAATATATTCACATATACCAGTCACATTAAAACTTACTGAAAAAAGAGTAGTGGGAGCCCAATCATACCAGAGCTGGAATAGTCTAGTTTTTTTTCTTTTTTTAAAAAAAAAGAGAGAGACGGAGAAAGAGAATTCAAATGACAAGCTGGATTGGAGGCCCATCATATCACGCTTAAAAACCTCTCCTCACCCTCGCGCTCACTTCCTACTCCATCTGCTCCCGCCATCGCAGTATCGCACCAATCTCAAAGCACACCACCATGGCGCGACGTCGCATCCTACCCCTCCTCCTCGTCCTCCTCCTCACCGTCGCCGTGGCAACGTCGTCGGCGTCCGCCTACGGCGCCGATGATGGCGTGACCGTGATGAGGCGCGTTCTGGACACCGCCGCGCCTGCACCGGCCCCGGGCCCCGCCCCCGGCGGCGCCATGGCGAACACGACGACGAGCGGGTACATCAGCTACGACGCCCTGTTCGCGGACCGCGTGCCGTGCTCGCTGCGCGGCGCGTCGTACTACAACTGCCATCCCGGCGCGGAGGCCAACCCCTACACGCGCGGCTGCTCCGCCATCACGCAGTGCCGCGGCTAGCTAGCTTAATTAGCTAGGCCGCCGCACTGCCGGCGAGATCGTCTCGTCGCGCCATCCTTTTCTTCTCTCCTGCAGTCAATTGTTCTTTCTGTTGGATCTGATTTGGTGATTGATTCATGATTTATCGGTGTAATGTTGTATACTTGTCAAATTGTTGGAAAGATATATATATATATATATATATATATATATATATATATATATATATATATATATATCTTAATTAAGACACTCCTAATTCAAATTGTGAGTGATGTTAATTTGTGCGCATCAGCGCAGTTAACAGAGAGTGAATGTGAAGTTGGTGCCAGTATTTGAATAATGGATCAAAAATGCTAGTAATTAATACTTCCAGGCGGTCATAATCCAGCTTTGTTCTAACATTTACGGTTTAACCTGGTTTAACCATAGTCCATGGTTGTAATGAGCTGTTCGGGACTTTGGATTTTATTCATGCAATTTTTTCTTTCTGGTTTTGTAATCAAGGATTTTGTATTACCTCTCCTGTATGTTTGATCAGAACCGTTGTGCACCAATGCAATCTTCGGTTTATTTTGGCAATCTTCAACAATTCGTTGATCGTAACCACTGCAGATGATGAGAAAGCCTGACAGCGAACGAATAATGTATATTATAATCTGGGATCCTTGGATGTAAATGTAATTTCCAGAGTAACCGACAAAATCATGTGCTGCCCTTCCTCCAACCTCTGCGTGGTTGTCATGCTCAAAAAATCACGGCAGAAGAAGCGGAGAGAGATCAGATAAAACTGTGTAGTTGTTGCCACGTTTCTGCAACGCAGAATCAACTCCTCTGACTTCATCTATTCAGGTCAATTTAGACATATAAATTATGTTGGTATGACAGCTGCAGAAGGAAACATGAGTAGTGGTGATCCGTGATCAAAGAGGAGATGCATGCACGCTGCCCACTAATTCAACAAGATGATGATGGCGGGAACATGCAAACATTCTCTTAGTTTTTTTTATATATTTTTAAGAATGGCATTCTTTTATTTGGAATGGCAGTTTGCAACACATGGAATTGAATTGAAGAATCAGTGTAGTGTACATTATCAATCTATCATAATCCAATCATATCGATTGATGGCCCATTGGGATCTTCAGGGAAGAAGTCTCATGTGGATGCAGTCCTAGTTGACCTCAGGCTTTCCGTAATCCAAACAGGAGAATTTCCTCACCTGGTTGGTACTGGAGCTCAAAGGAGACGAATTTTTTTTATTTTTAATTTTTTTTATTAAAAGTTTTACAAAAATAATTTTCCATTTTGAAAATTGACGGAAGTAGTCGCCTACCGCCCTCTGGGAAGGCGATTTTTAAAAATCGCCCTCCCAGAGGGCGGCGAAAATGACGTGGCAGACGGCCGTTCGCTCTCGGGCGACGGCCGTCAACGAAATTTGCAGGCGGCCCCCTTGCCGCCCTCCGCGAGGGCGATTTTGTACTGTGCGGGGGGCCGCCTGCAAATGGGCGGCGAGGGGGGGCATGGAAATTTGCAGGCGGCCCCCTTGCCGCCCTCCGCGAGGGCGATTTTGTACTGTGCGGGGGGGCGCCTGCAAATGGGCGGCGAGGGGGCATGGAATTTTGCAGGCGGCCCCCTTGCCGCCCTGGGGGAGGGCGATTTTGTACTGTGCTCTATATTTTTGTATAAATATCAATAGTTATCAAATCTTTTTATATTGAAAACTATACAAGATTAAAATCTCCAAGACTGGTAAAATACAATTTTATTATTTTTTAGGGCATATTTGGATTGTTACCGTACAAATATTTTGTTACCGTACAAATATTTTATTAAGTTTTAGGGCATATTTGGATTGTTAGTGCCAAATTTTTCTTCACGACCAAATATTTGGTAAGGTAAAATTGCATTTGATCATATTTGGTTTGCTGCCAAAATGTAAAATTGTAGTGAAGAATGTTCTACATAATCTCAAATCTAGATTACGTATTACCAATGAATAGGCTTCCATTTTCGTGTGTTGTGTTCTAGTGGGAAAGAAGATATGAAGAGGTTGCCTTCAGATTGTCAATTATATAGCGTCGTTTTCACTGCAATATATGTGAACTCAATGAGATACATTATTCATTAGATGTGACAAGACGATCACGCGTGGGCGTGATTCACTTTATGTAAACAGGCAGCGCCGAAAGTTGATAGTGATAACTCGAGCTGCCGCTTTTCATGTGTGCTGTTGTGGACTGTGCGCGCTACTGGATCTGACACTACCGTGCAGCGCCGAAAGTGTGTTGTCATGAGCATAAGTTGTTCTAGCACCATATGAATGAAAAGAACTATGTAGACGAGACAAACACAAGTAGTACTGCAGTAGTAATAGCAAAAGTAGTACTGCTTTACAAGTTTGTAAGCCAAAAGAAACGGTCACATAAGGACTGAAGAGGTAGAACACTACTGACGAGGCCTCTTACCCCTGTCCCTCCTACCCTGCGCCCTAATGTGCCCGTGGGAGTACGTGAGTCGGTCCGGGGGTACGGCACGGCCAACCCGTCCTGCCTGTACAGGTGTGACCTCTGGCTGCTCCTGAGTGTGCGCCTCTGGAGCTCCTCCAAGCTGAGAGGAGCCTAGTACGTCGTGGTGGTCTGCACCGTGCAAGTCGTCGTCGTAGAACTGGCTAGTAGGACCAGTCCTACCGGCGTGAGACGAAGAGGCCCCAGTACCGAAGATCCCGGCTGCAAATCCTGCTGGACAAGGACCATCAGTTTCGTACAGGTATTTAACAGTATTAATAAAAAGTAAAGTACCGTGTGGGCGAGGGATCGACGCTCCGTGAGAGGAAGAGCTGGCGAACGCGCCCGAAGAGGTGGCGAACGCCCCTGCGGAGCTCGTGGAAGCGCCGGTCGTGCCTGCGAACGCGCTCGAAGGCAGACGAGGTCCTGCGATGAGGAAACGTGCAGTTAAAACATGGTGACATAATCGTGCAAAAGCTGAAACAAAAATGAACTAATATCTGGGCTGAACTGTACCGTGCGAAACCGGTGCTGTAGGTCGCACTGCTCCGAAGCTAGGGGCGTTCGAAGGCAAACGAGGTCCTGCGAGGATGGAACATCAAGTTACGACGGGGTGATGTTTTCGTACAAAAACAGAAACAAAACTTAAGAAACCTCTGGGCTGAGCAGTACCGTGCGAAATAGGTGCCGTAGGTCGAGGTCCTGCTCCGACGGTAGGCGCGCGAGGCCGTGGTTGTACCGGACCAGCTGGAGGTACGACGTCCACGGCGCTGCGACAGGAGAAGACGCGCATGACCGCACGCATCTTCTCCTGCATCCGGTCGAAGGTCGTCCTCTGCTCAACGTCAGTCAAGTGCAAACCTCTGTTCAACCTTACTTGGACTGCGGTGATATCGGCACTGATATCCCGTGCGGCATCAGCCTATGCAAGATGGAAATAACAAATTCAGTAGTTGTCCTATATTATGCAAGATAAATGAAATAATTGTAAGAAGTAATACAAATTGGACGTACCGCCACGAAGTAGTCCCGGTCACGGTGCGTGGGATACGCGTCCGTGACAGCGGCAACGTGCGGCTCTGGGGCGTCTGGAGTGAAGGTCACACGCGCACGAGTGCGAGGAAGGTACCAGCGAAGGTAGTCACGGTAGTTCTCCTCCGTTGTGGGAAGAGCTCGTTGATCACCTCCTCTTTAGCTAACACCCAGTCGTCAACGTACTGCTGTACACGTGGAGCCCAAAGTGCTCCTGCTAGCTGTCCCCGTCGAGTCAACCTGTGAAGAGAGGTAAATTATATGGCTCGATGAAGTAATTATCATAAAAAGAAATGAACAATCCGAACTCACGAGTGGTCGGCAGGGAGGACGGTCGGCTGCACGTTGCCCGGAAACACCTGCCTAAGTCCGAACTGTCTCATCACACGCTGCGGGCAGTGAGGCTCAACGAAAATGTCGAACACCATCGGCAGGATGGTGAGCCAGTAAGCCTGGTCGCGTGTGCACAAGGACGAAAGTCCTAGCGGTGCTCTCGCAGCGACGGCCTCTTCTGTGTACGGCTCCCAGATGACGTCGCTCGGCTGGAGACGGTCAAACTCGAACACGAAGTCCGGGTAACCACGTCTCACCTGGACGTGATCGTAACGACGCTGCAATAAACATGATCGGAATTAGACATGTTATGTGAAGAAAAAAAAAAGACGACTGATAAACTTATAACGCAGCGAAGTTGCACTAACCCCACGTCGACACCAGTAAGTCCCCATCGTGGGACCGTCCTCTGGCCACTGCGCGCTGCGACCAACCCCGTAGGGTGCGCTGTCCACCACTGGTCAACCTATGGCAAACCTCTCGGCTGCCCAAAGCTGAAGCAACATAGGGCAGCCAGCGATGATCGCTCCCGCGTCAGTCTTCGTGCACGCCTCACAGAGGGCACGGTACGTGGCTGCTAGCACGGCAGAACCCCAGCTCCACTGCGGCACGTCCTGTGGCTGAGCATCCGCGATGGACCGTGCGTAGTGGACCAGCCGGAAGTCCACAGCGTGCCCGTGGGTGCTAGTGAACATCACCCACCCGAACAACCACAACAGGTACGCCTCAAGGGAGCGTCGGACCGAGTAATCATCAGCGTCAGGGTGCAGAAGGTCCGCCTACAATTAAGAATGAAATGTTAGTACAAAACACTCATTCGGTCGCAAATAAGCACGTATGATAATAACAACTTATTTACTTACAGTGAACTGGAGCAACCAAGCCTTGCTAGGCCCGACTGTAGAGTACGGAGGAAGGGTGGTGGTCGGTCCTAGGTGTGGAAGGCGCATCACCTGCTCGAAGCGCGCAGTGATATCCTCCTTCCACCCAAAAACACCGTCCACGGGACCAACTGCTGCTCCCGCCAGCGGTAGCCCGAGCAGGTACGACACGTCCTGCAGTGTCGGAGCCATCTCCCCACAGGGAAGGTGGAACGTGTGCGTCTCAGGTCTCCAGCGGTCTACAAGAGCGGCAAGGAGTGACCGGTCTGCATCCCACCGCTTCGCTGGGTCACGGTCGTCCGCCGCAGCCTCAACAAGCCTACAAAGTGGTAGAAGGCCTGGCGCACGCAACCTGTATAGAGCAAACTTCAAACATAAGTACAACACAAAGCAAAGTTGAGTTGAAATGAGAACATACGCGTACCAAGGAACGTGACGGGGGTCGACACGCAACCACTCGCGCGACGTGCGTGGACGGAAGGTGCCGAGCTGTGCACCCTCGACTGCTGACAGGAACGAGCGGTGGTTCCTGTCAATCCCACGGTTCAACAGCGCCGGTGTGTCGTACGCCATACCTGCATCAAATAGGTTGATCAGAAACATATAAATAATTAGTTCAACATAAGTAATAAATGTTCATAAGCGAATTACTAACACATATTAAACAAGAGTA